ACTTTTTAAATCAGAAAATATTTTTTAAAATAATTTATGTTGCAAAATTTGCTACCATGATTTCTCTTTTATTACAGTCTTGGCCTGATTATGAAGATATCCATAAAAAAACAATTGAAATTGCCACATTTTTAGATTTGCCTCGTTTTCCAGACATAACTGAAGACTGCTATCTTCATCCCAACATTTTGTGTATGAAATACTTAATGGAAGTCAATCTCCCTGGTAAGTGTGTGGTATATATGGTGAGGAAGTTTTAACTAATAGAATTATAATAAACAGAATATAGAATTCTTTCAAATCCCAGACTATTAGAACCACTCGAAAGAATCCATAATTAATAACATGAAGCTTAATTTCAAAGTCCTTTCTTAAAATAATTCAGACCATTTAAAATGGTTAAAGGGACACTGTTGAGAAATAGAGTTCTATTTTGGTGTGAGGGATTTATGCTTGAGAGAATATATCTGGTTTTAATCTTAAGTTTGCTAAATGCAAGTAAAGTAACAAATGTTTCAATATGTCTTATTAATGACCTACTCTCCCCTCTCAAAAAAAACCAGCACCTATATATTTGCATGAAGCAGCATTATTACATAATGAATTCTAATTTCTTAAAAATCTCAGAAGCTAATCTATGGTAGGTAATGTTTTTATCATTTGGTTACATATGCTATTTCCAATCCCTAAAATAAGTGGAGATGAAAGTCTGGTCAGATCCTAGTGAACTCTTGAAGGCAATATACAGAATGTAAAAAGAACCTCACTATACCTGGTTCACAGTGTACTGAGATACAGGTAACCCCAATGGAATCTGCTGATGGAATCCCGTCCTGAATTTCTTGCTAGACTAGAAATGTGAGAAATTTAGGACTTATATTCTTAAGAGAAAATACAAACATGGTGTGACTGTACCATTGCTTAAGCAATATCAAAAATGGATTGAACATATTTTAATAGAACAAGAAAATACATATATTGTGTGAAAAAAGCAATATACAAAATTATATGTACCTTAACTATAAAAATAAATAGAAATA